AAATCGAGTTCAAGGTCACATTGTGTTTTGAATATACCATGCTTTAAACTGAACCAACTGATCAAATAATCAGAGTATTATGTTCATGATTCCAGATTCAGTGATGTCAAATTAAAATTAAAATTTCTTTCACATTAACGGTTTTCGCTATTGTAGTGTTAAAAAAGAGAATCCAATCCAAGTTGAAAATTGTGAATTTCGTAAATCCTTGTAGTGTGTTAAATACCTAATATATATAATAATAAATTTGACTAGTATAGGGACCAGTTCAAATATAATTTATTTTCTCAGGAAATTTACTTACGTTCCGCCAACTATATTCGATATGTAATTAGTGTTGCCTTGTCCTTGCTCACATGCCGACATTTTAATTATTTCCTTAACATATGTTCGAGCGCAAGGAAAGCTCGAAGGTAGCAGCCAATAAAGCGGCCAATTGTTTAAAACATCTGTCGCTTACCCACGGGAAGTCTTGCCTTCAGTAAATATATATTTTTATATATATAGTAAAATACAACGTAGAATCCTTTTAATAAATTTTGTTATTTGTTTAGTACCTATGTATACAGATAGATAAATTAACATATAACGCTTTCAAAGACAATTGAGTGAAGTACTTTTTTTCTTTATTTTTCAAACGATGATACGCAAATAAAATTTTTTTAATTAGTCATCGCAGCCACCTGTAGTGAAAATGACTGTTTGGCAGGTGTTTTTTTCAGGAATACCTTCTTAAAGTTCTTCAAGTGACTTAAGGTGTTGAAAACTTTACATTTTAAGATCCATAAAAACTTGTAAGACTGGATGTAAGCACCATCCTTCTGGAACCATGTATAATTTAGACCATTTATTTTGACGTGAAGAACCAAAACGTCGCTTAATTTTTAAGACGTTGGATGCATCCTTAGTTCTAAAAAATTAAGATCCTATATGCTTTCGCTTTACATTAGACAGTAACTTATTTTTTTGTTTTTGTCAGCAAGAGAATCTGTAGAATCTATTTAGTCTATTTCCGCACAGAACACGAGTTTTGGAAACTTTCCTGATTTTCCAACGTCGTTCGGGTGTAAATCTGCTTTGTAATTCATCAAGTTATATTGAACAGAAACGTCAAACGATATAACAACAAGTTTGACAGCTATCTGAAAATTACATATGTAATATATAAAAACACTTAGAAACTGTAATTTATACGTCTAAAATTTCATATATCAATATGAATTAGATTTTTCATTATATTTCCATATATCGTAAAATCGTGATATTCCAAAAAAAAACACTTTGAATCAAGAATTAAATGCCAATGTAATGCAAATATACAATATATGGTATATATATATATATATACTTGTATGCAGTATATAAATAATACAATAACAAAATGTGAGAATACACCCACATAATTAAGGCGATAGCGCAGCATGGAACGCAACAACTTCAGTTTGCAGAAATATATTTTTGTTTTGATTTCCATGGATTTCTGCACTTTTATTCTATAAGAAATGTCTTGTAAAGGGTATGTTAGCTTCGGTGCAGTCGAAGTTAACAGATTTTCTTGTTATTACTTTTTTTATAAACACTTTGCGGAATTGTTTCTCATATTTAAGAAGTTTTTATTTCGTAGAATCAAAAAAATTTGAATTTTCCCTTTTTTTTTTGCTTTCTGTTTTCCAAATTACTGTAACTATTTTTTGTTACATTCTATAACTAAAAATTTGTTTACCAGAATTATAACAATATTATTAATACTTAAAAAATATTGAATTTCGATAAAGAAAGCTTTCAAAATTTAGTAATCAAATTTTAACTGACGTCTATTGTCACTCTTAAAGGGTATATCAAAATGGGGTAGATTTTTTTTTGAAGATATATGTACATCATAATTTAACGATATCTGAATGTTTTTTATTTTAACAAGGAGTTCTTAAAAATCTCAAAAATATTTAATTACTAGATTACAGAATATATTTTATAAATATTTTGTTCAAATTTTAATTTTTCTAATTTTCATTTTCTTACATTTTTCAGGTTTCGTCACATCCTTAAAATGGCCTTAACTGTGTCATTGCGTCGCGTATTATTGTTGCTTTTGATGGCAACGATATTCATACTGATGGTTTTGTACTGGAATCAGGACGGCATGAAACCACAATCGTTTTTAGTTGAGAAATCGATGAAACGCCGAGCTGATATTAATAAGCGGCCACCAATGTAAGTTTAATATTTAATTTAAATTATACGCTTCCATTTCTGCAACACAAAAATCTGAAATTTCACTAAATTCCTTTCCCCGCAGACCTGACGAAAAACTCTGGACCTATAAATGTGAAAATGAGCGCTGTGTACGACGCACGTATCCCACCAATGATGGCGTCGGCGCCGCCTCAGATCGTCGTATACCGTTTATGACATGCGCCATGACTTGCGGCGAAGTCAATATTTGGCCACATCCAACAATAAAGACTGCCATCAGTTCCGTTTCGTTGAAATTCACCATGGAAGATGTACAACTGCGCATGGACACACCGCACAGCGCTGTTGAAACGCAGTTTAAGCAAGCATTCGCCTATTTTCTAAGTGATCTTCGGCGCATACAACGGCTACCGAGTGCGGAAGAGAGCACTGATAATGTCGGTGGTGGAGTTGGAGGCGGTGTTGGTGGCGCTGACCGGGCAACGGCTACGGATGTTAATTCGGGTGGTCGATCACCACTTTCCGAACAGAATGCTGCTTATCAGCAACAACAAAAGCAGCAGCAACAACATCATAGTAGTCGCGCACGACGTGACACTTCCTATGCTGTCCATCAAAATACTGACGCACATGCTGGCGCCGCTGGTGCGGGTGTTGCTGACGATGGTGATTCGGAGACGGCGGGTGCTTATCATCATCGGCACAAGCGTCGTCACATCGACATTGGCAGAGCGCTGGGCAACACTTTGGGTGAGAATATGGCACCAGCGGCTATTTTGAGTAATGTCTTCAACACACGTCGCCATTGTGACGTGGATACGCTGCTCGTGCAGGTGGAAGTGCATAAATCGGGTGAAATTAATTTGAGTTTGGATACCGATGAGAGCTACAAGCTATCTGTTGCACGTAAGTTAAGAAAGAGACTTTCAATTATTGCAGTTGAACTCAAACATATGTCTTAGATAAAGACTTCTTCTTAGTTCATTCTTGTTTCGAACTTTTGCCATTAACAAAAAATCCAGGTGGAATAAATGTATTTTACTTGGTGAGACGTTTCATAGTTCTCTTGATATATATAATTCCCGTAATCTTCTGATTTGTAGTATATTTTTTCTCTAAAATTTGGTGAAGATTTTGTATGATTGCTATATACTATAACAGTCCGATATTAACAACATGTTCGGAGATTGTAAGATAGAGATATATTGTCAAACAAAAATGTTTTCCATTGTCTTAGACAATAAGCTGTATTAGATTTCAAGAAAAAATCGCGTTAAATAAAAAGGTTGCCTTACCTTGCCTTGATTTTGAGCATCTTCTTGAGGAGAAAACAACTTGTGCCAAATTTCACATCGATATCTGAAAAGCAGACGGACAGACAGACGAGCATGACTAAATCAACTCAGCTGAGCGTTATGCTGATCACTTATGCATATATATCTATATTTGTTATCGGATATCCGACGTTTTATTCAGGGTGTTACAAACTTTGTGACAAACTTTATATATAAATAACCCTTAACGATTCCATTATTTTATTTTACAGATGAACGTCGCACCGTTAACATCCACATCACAGCGAATTCATTCTTCGGTGCACGCCACGCCCTCTCCACACTACAGCAATTGATTTGGTACGACAATGAAGATAATCTGCTGCACATCCTATCGAAGGCCATAATTATAGATACACCCAGATTTCGTTATCGCGGTCTTATGTTGGACACATCGCGTCACTTCTTCTCTGTCGAGGCCATTAAACGTACCATTGTCGGTATGTCACATGCGAAACTCAATCGTTTCCATTGGCATATAACGGATTCACAGAGTTTCCCTTACGTATCGAAGAATTTTCCCGAAATGGCTATACATGGCGCCTATTCGGAGCATGAAACCTACACATTCGAAGATGTCCGAGAGGTTGCGGCATTTGCGCGCGTTCACGGTATACAGGTCTTACCGGAAATCGATGCGCCGGCGCACGCTGGCAACGGTTGGGAGTGGGGACCAAAACGTGGCCTTGGCGAATTGAGTTTGTGTATAAATCAACAACCGTGGAGTTTCTACTGTGGCGAACCGCCATGTGGTCAATTGAATCCTAAAAATAATAATACTTATCTGGTGCTGCAACGCCTTTATGAGGAATTATTAAATGCCACCGGTCCAACGGATTATTTTCACCTTGGCGGCGATGAGGTGAATCTAGAATGCTGGGGTCAGTACTTCAATGACACCGATTTGCGTGGATTGTGGTGCGATTTTATGCTCAATGCAATGACGCGGTGAGTTTTGAAATTATATAATACATACTTACATGATTATAAGTGGTTTTCTTATTTGCACTGTGCTTCAGCTTGAAAATCGCCAATAATAATGTGGAGCCGCGCGTGGTGAGTGTGTGGTCCAGTGGTCTGACCAACACCAAATGTCTTCCAAGCAACCGTGTTGCTGTGCAAGTATGGGGTGGCAGTACGTGGCAGGAGAATTACGATCTCATTGATAACGGCTTTAATGTGATATTTTCGCATGTGGATGCCTGGTATTTGGATTGTGGATTTGGCAATTGGCGTTCAACTGGTGAGTGTACATTAGTGATGGTGAAATAATTGTGTGTCGCATATTTCCACATATTTACAAGCATACATATTATTTATATCCATAGGCGAAGGTGCCTGCTCGCCGTATCGCACCTGGCAGAATGTCTACAAGCACAGACCATGGGAGCGCATGCGTCTCAATAAATCGCAGCGAAAACAGGTAATTTTTTATTTTCTTTATAAGTATTCATAATACATCAAAATGTTGGTATTAAAAATTTAAAATGATTAATTAACTTTACTTAAGACATTTTAATAAGACTGAGAACATATTCCCATACACAACACGAAACAACACGTTTCCTAGGACTTCAATGACAATCAATACGTACCTTACCACCCAAGCGGGAACTTGTTAACCGCCACAACAACAATAACTGAGAACATATGTTTAGTATTCCTATAGTCTATTAACTTATTCTCTTGTATCGAAAATAATTATTTCCATCCCCTTTTTAGTTTTGGTAAATTGGTCAGTAGGAGAGACATCTTAATAAATAGTTGAATGATATAATTTAATATGGCGAAATATGAATGAGATCTATATCACTCATGGGGTCAAATAAAACAATTATAGTGATAAAAAATTAAATATCCCAGTGGACCTAAGTAAATATGGTACCTTATATATATATATATGATAATTTAATATCAATAGAGTAACTTGTGCGCAATTGTTGCATGATTATACGCAATAAAGACATTTCCTATTTTCTACATCATATTTGTGCAATTTTGAAGACATCTCTTTCTGTCTGATGCGTCCTTATTGAGACTATTAGTAAAACAATCTATATGCTGTTTCTTTTTAGGTATTAGGTGGCGAAGTTTGTTTGTGGACTGAGCAAACCGACGAATATCAATTGGATAATCGATTATGGCCGCGTGCTGCTGCGCTGGGTGAAAGGTAAATTTCCTACTATCACTACTTGAGTGTAACAATGTAACTAGAATCTTAAATTGTGCAAATATTTTAGGTTATGGAGCGATTTGGAGGATGATCGCGAGTTCGATGTTGTGCCACAGGATGTCTTCAAACGTATGTCCGTATTTCGCAATCGGCTGGTCGAGCTGGGCCTAGAGGCGGAGCCAATATTTCCTAAATTCTGTGCGCAACATCCCGGCGAATGCATTTGATATTACTACTAAATGCCGAACTAAGCAGCATTTGTACATATGTATGTACGCGTATACGCAGGTATATATATATAAATCTCGAATTACTCAGTTTGGATCGATTTGTGCCTAAACAGTGTAAAATTCATATTCAAGACGGAGTTGTCAAAATTTTACATTTTGATTTTTTTTTTGTATTGTTTACAACTATAATTTTTGTTAAAAAGTTACACGATTGATATTAGTTCTAGCATAAGATTAATAAAATTAGTCAATGTAAATCTGCTATATAGCTGGAAATTTATAAAGCTAATACCATAACATTTGATGACAAAGAGGAAAGACGAAGTACAGCAGTTTTGTTAGTAGGAAGTAAGATGTCTATGAGGAAATTGTGGGATATTTATATACTCGTATATGTATCGTGTTTTTTAACATCTATTAGTGCAATTGTTTTGTATTTAACTTAGTTATTTTTGTTTAAACCCATATACATACATATTTACATAAATTAAATTTATAGTATTTTACACTGTTTAAAGAAAAAACCTGCAAATTATTTGGTTTATCAAAAGCAATCGAATATTATGTATCGCATTTACGCACATACAACAATGCATGTAGATTATGTTCAAACGGGTCAACTAATTCAATATTTACTGTATTTTAAGCTGCTGAAAGACAACATTTTTTGTAAACACCAGGGTTGCGAATTTTGTAATTCAAAATTTTTAGATTACAAATTTAATTTTCGGTTTTTAAAAAATAAAAATGGATGTGAATCCAAGATGTTAGGGCTAAAAATTGAAAATCAAATTTATATATCAAAATATCGGAATAAAAAGTTAAAAATCTAAAATTAGAAATCAATTTTAAATTCGGTCCTTGAGGTTAGGTTTTTTTTTAAATCGATATTTGGGATTAAGTTTATATGTTTTCAATCTGGTTTTCAAATGTTAATTCAATTATTATGCCCTGAACAGGATATATTAAGTTTGTCACAATGTTTGCAACCAGAAGGAAACGTCGGAGACCCTATAAAATATAAATGTAAATGATCAGCGTGACGAGCTGAGTCGATCTAGCCATGTCCGTCTGTCTATCCGTTTGTCTGTAAATACGCGAACTAGCTCCTTCAATTTTTGAGATATCGTTATAAAATTTTGCACACGTTCTCTTCTCCCCAAATAGCTGCTCCGCCGATATCGGACCACTTTAGCATATAGTTGCCATACAAACGGAATGATCGGAATCAAGGGCTTGTATGGAAGATTTTTCATTTAACGTGATATCTTCACAAATTTCGCATGGGCTATTATCTGAGGCAATTATGTAATCTCCAAAGAAATTGTTCTGATCGGATAACTATAGCATACAGCTGCAATACAAACTAAACCATCGGAATCAATCAATTTTGTAACTAATGTTTTGCATTTGTGAAGGGTATTATAGCTTTGGTGCAACCGAAGTTAACTTTTTTTAATGCCTTATTTGCAACCCTGGTAGGCACATATAAGTAAGGGATTTTTATTATTTTTTATTTTACTATATAAAGAATTAATTTTAATGTGTTGAAGTACGCATACGCGATGATTGTGATATGGTACATACATATATGTGTATGTGTGCACATACCTACATGACATATTACAGGACAACAACATACAGTGTATTCACACTATGATTTCTATGTACAAACGTATCTTTTTGAATTACCAGCGAAATTTTAAATATGTCTAGCTGTTATTATTATAGAATTGTGTGTGTATGTCTATTAATTGAGAACTCTATGACAGTTATTAGATGCATATAAATGAAAGAAAAAAAAAAAACATAACCTCAAAAAATGCATACATTTTAGACCAATACAACAAATGTTCTATAATTTTGTTTTTCAATTTACGCTCTGCAGGCGTAATTGACACGTGCTTAAATGCTGAGGATAATGACTTGTAACTAAGCAAAATATATATCTAATACATATTAGCATAAATTGAAAGGGGGAAAGCTGCTAGTTTTAAGGGATTTTTAGTGATACAATGTGACCTTATTTGGAAAAAGTGAAAATATGACAAAAAACCTAATTAAATAAATTATTACATCATAACACTGACATTAACGCATAAACTAATTGAATTGTGTTTATGAAACCAACGGTAGTTGTAAACAAAGCTTTACGCATATCAAAAATCATTCACTCGAAAGTCATGAGAATTAATATTTAATAAAAAGAAAAACATACTCAATTTCAGATTTCTTATCTACAAGTATTACCGATATTTTAGCCAATTATGCCCATTTAGCAAGCCAAAAAAACAAAACAAAAAATTACTGAAATGCTCTACCGTCAAATGTCTGTTCAAACATTTTCGCAATCATAAATGCACATAAATATGTATGTAATTATGTATTTTTTCTCGAATGCCTGTATAGTTTTAACCTTTATATTCTTAGATAGGTTTCAAGCGGCATCTGCGCCACAAATATGTACGTATGTTTATTAAGCATTCATTTATGCGGTTATCCATAGCCTAAATTATATAATTATGGTTTTTTGTAGCTTTGCGTATAATGAAAATAATGATATTAATTGAAAAAAGAAGCATAATATTCTCATTAATAATGAATTGCATAATAAATAATGATTAAATTATAAATATTTATAATATATAAGAAATAAGTTTAATATTTAAGTACTGGTTATACAAATTGACTTATGTAACAAATTTGTACGTACAAAATATGTGCGAATTGTATAATCGTAGGCAGTCGGATATACAGTGACACTGTTTTCTTTTTTTAACAAGCGATAAATTGTAATTGTAGTTGATAAATAAAGTACTTATTAAAAAGCGAGACATTCGATTTTGTATTTATGGTGTTAAAGATTATTGTTATGAAAGCACGAGCGTTAAGTAGTGCTATGATTTAACGAGTTAGATTCAAAGATCCATTTGTGAATTTAAATAAAATTGATCTTGCAAATAGTTTCGGAGATATAAGCGTATTTGTAAGAATTTTTTAGCTACGTCAGTGTTATCGGCTCCCAAAAGTCAAAACGCGTTTTTATTGAAATGCTGTATTCAGAGTCGGTGAACATAATTTCTGCAAAACGGCTGGAGCGATAAACTTGATTTTCGCACGACCTTTTTAAATATATTTATCAGGTAATTATCAAAAGTTTAAGATTTGTAATTATCAAAAAGACTCAAAAATATAAGTTTTTTTATAATAATATTCATTTATAAGCCACTCTGAAGTGTAAATTTTGTTTACAAAAATTGATTTTTTTGGAAAGCCACCTTTTTGTTAAAGATTCAACTGGTCTTTCGATCATTATCTATTATTTTCTGTATTCATCTATATTTATAATAAATTCGTTAATGGATCGGCTTCGACTTGCAAGTGGATATAACCCCTTCAATGAAAAGCAGATTTATTATACGATTAACAATGGTTAATTATACACTGAACAGTTATATTAATTTTACCACGAAGTTTGTAGCACACAGATGGAAATGTTAGAGACCCTACAAAATATATATGTGTATATAAATTATCAGAGTGGCGAGCTGAGTCGATTTTGCCTTGTCCGTAAGTCTTTCTGGATATACGCGAACTAGTCCCCCAGTTTTTGAGTTATCGATCCGAAATTTTGCTCACTTCCTCTTCTCCCCAAGAAGCTGCCCTTTTGTCGGAACGGCCGATATCGGGGCACTATAGCATATGCTGACATACAAACTAAATGAACTGAATAAAGGTATTGTATGGAAAACTTTTTAATTTGACGTGATATCTTCACAACATTTGGCAGGAATTAATGTCTAAGACAGTGATACAATCCTCCAGAATTTTGTTCAGATCGGATCGCTATAGCACATAGCTGTCATACAAAGTGAGCGATCGAAATCAAATGAGTTTTTTCATTTGATGAGATATCTTCAAGAAAATTAGTATATGTTTTTTTTTAAAGCAATGGTGTAATCTCCAAAGTAATTGGTTAGATCGGATCACTATAGTATATAGCTGCAATACAAACCGAGCGATCAAAATCAAGTTCTTTTTCTTGTTTTTAATATAAAATACTAACATAATTTTGAATAGACGTACTATATATAATATATCTCATGTGCTTATATTATATTATTTTACAAATTACCGTTATTTGAAAAAATAGTGTTTAATATCGTACATTAAGTAATTTTTAATTTTTTGTTTAACAAATATTTCTTTAGAAAGTTTTACTATAGCAGCAAAGAAGGTTCAGGTATTTCAAAAAAAAAAAATTGTTCCTAACTAGCTCAAATTATACTTATGTACATTATTATATTCACAAATTTAAATTTTTCTATAATTATTGCAATTATTACTGAAACAAGTAAGGAAAGGCTAAGTTCGGGTGTAACCGTGAGACTAGGGGAAGCTCGGGACTGATTGCATTAACGTTTGATATTACTCAAGTAAACTCGAGAATATATTTTCATTCAAATTTGTGGATATAACTCACACACTAATCGACATATTCGCATAAAATATGCTAGACTAACGAAAACCATTATAAATAGTATGTGGGCACTGGGGTAAATTGAGGACCGATTTCACACATTTTCCGCATTACCTATGCTATACAAGTAGTATATTCAAAATTACATGCTCACGGTTTAAAAGCCAAGCGGAAAAATCTTATAAAGCATATAGGAGCTTGGAAATATAGTGACACGATTTTAACCAGTTTTGATATTATGACAAACTAGTATTATCATCAGAAATAAATGCTATCGAAGCCTCACAGATTGAACAATATTTAAGGTATTATGTCAAGCGGATGTTTGTTATCCTTATATATATAAGGTATATGAGGCCAAGGAAAGTATTGCCTCGATTTTATCCATTTTTTTCATAAGAATACACTGTTATTAGGAAAAGAATTTTTCTGTATTTCAATAAAATGTCGTACATATTTACCGATATATGCGTAACAACATCAAACAAAAGTTCGAAAATCTTTATCATATATCAAATATATATATGGTAAGTTTGGCACAACGGCATGCTATTATCATAAAAATATTCTCTCTGAATTTCAACACTAGACCTCACATATTAAACCATATTTTTGTTAAAAAGTTAACCATAGGCACCGCGATCCACATATTCGGTATATGAGGCCTTAAAAAGTTAAAGTCTGATTTCGACACGAATTTAAACACGAGATGGAAAACATAAATGTCACTATTATTGCAAAGAACTTTCTACAACAATGTCATTGCCTATCAATTGATAAAATGTACAATGAAAGAATCAGATTGAATTTAAAATTGTTGTTTATAGGAAGTAGGCGTTGTTATAGTCTGATTTCGGTAATTTTCGCAGCGCAATATACGAATACTAAAATATTGTTATGAAGCATTTCACCTCAAGGTGGATGGTGTCATGCCGCCTGTCCAGTTTTGATCATAAGTTTTAGGTGTTACAAACAACCGTTAGGTGAACAAAACTGTAATACTCTGTAACAACATGTTGCGAGACTATAAAATTGTATGGAGTTGCAACATTGTGCATTGTAGCCGAGTGGATTATGTACTTGACGGTCACAAAATATTCGGTTTTTTAAACGTCAGATTGCCGGAAAGAACCCTTACACAATATCTTAGCACAATTATGCTACAACAACAACAGAAACCACTGTGATTTTATCCCTAATCGCTATGACTAATCAATTTCTCCAAAAAATAATCATTAATCTGACAACTCGCAATTAATATATTATTTTATTTCTTAATATTTCCTACAAGTACTTACGTTTCTTAGTTTAAAAGCGGAAACAAAGCAAACTTCATTCTTAGCTTAATAATTTTTTTTTCATTTTCAATTTTTGTCTCACAAAACACATGAAAAATTTAATTTTAATTTTATTCATTTATTGCCTTTGAAAATGAAAATTTATATACTCGTACTGATTTTATTTGCCGCGCGGGTAAGTATACGAATAGCGGTACTAGCTGAAACATTCATACACTTAAATGTGTTTTTTTTCTTCTTAGTTTCTTGCGGTGCATAGTGATGGACGACTACATACGTGTGACCTCGATCTTGTTAGCGAAGAGGGTAAAGAATATTTTAAACCACTGTCGGCTAAATTCTTGAATAATAAATGTGCTGATATCTTCGCAAAGAGAGGAACAAATGGTGCTACGTACAATTTGTATCTGGCTGAAGCGAATGCATTTAGGGAATTTATTATAGCGATTGAAACTTATGAGGCAAAAAAATCTGGAAAAAAATTGTGTGCGAACAATGAAGTAAGTGTACTTAGGGTTCTTGTTTTTTATTTGTACACAATTACACATGCTTTAGAGGGTGCAATTTTGCTCCGTTCTCTGTTGGTCTTGGTTGTATGTTTATGCTAGTTCCTCAGTTTTTGAAAACTTCGAATATATTGTTTTGATCGGTTTACTATAAAATGTAGTGATCCAGATTTAGCTACACATATACATAGTTGCTATAAGAAATGAACCTTTAAAGAGTATTATATCTTCGGTGCAGTCGAAGTTAACGTTTTTTCTTGTTTTATATACAATACAATACAATTATCGAATTCTAAAAATAAATATATTGTATATATATGTACATTTTTGCCTTTAATTACGCAAGTAGTATGCCCTCGACATCAGTGAACGACAGAAGTTCTACGAGCAAGTGAATTTGTGTGACTGCTACAAGAAGAATAATCAAGAAACTTTTCTCCATTGTCTCATAGAAAAACGAAAAGAGTTGACAACTATAATAAATAATGCTAACGACTAAATTAATTCATATATTTAAAAGCTGTATAATATACAATACAATTATGCATACAAAAATTTTCGTACTGAATGCGATTTATATATGTAAAATTTTTAGTGAATTTGTAATTTTTCAATTTTTATAATATATGTACATATGATTTGTTTAAAATATTTTCTTAAATAAACGGTATAAAATATAATAACATTAAAAGAGCGTTTTAGTGCCCAAACAAGTGCACAAATACAAGGTGCGTTCCAAAGTAAACAGTAAAAAAGTAACAGAGTAAACTCTAGTGGCGCCATCTATATTTCGACAAGTGCGTTAGAATCTGCTATCTTTTATCGACTTCCAGTAAAAATTTCATGAAATTTCATCTATTGGAAGTGAGGTTATTGCGTTTTAAGTGTCAGTATGTTTTTGTCATCGGTGCGAAAATGAGCTTCGAACAAAGAGCCAACATTAAATTTTGTTTTAAAATTGGTAAAACTTTTACCGAAACGTTTCAATTGATGAAACAAGTTTATGGCGATGATTGCCTATCCCGTAGCAGAAAGCATGAGTGGTTTCAATGTTTTCAAAGTGGTCGTGAGGATATAAATGAGAAATGAGCCGAAATCCAAAAAATCGCGCCTAGAGAAGTCAAAAAAGAAGACAATGCTGATTTGTTTTTCTGATTCCAAGCGTATTGTTTAGAAAGAATTTGTTCCACCCGGCCAAAACGTTAATGCGGTATTGTACCTTGGAGTTTTGAAGCGTTTGGTGCGCCGTATTCGACGTGATCGGCCCGAATATCGCAAAGATGGAAGTTGGCGTTTGTTGCACGATAATGCGCCGTTTCATCGATCGACGCTTGTGGCCGATTATTTGACCAAAAATCACATTTTAACAATCAACCACTTCCCATATTCACCTGATATGGCACCGTGCGACTTCTACCTTTTCGGAAAAATGCATTTGCCGATGAAAGGAAAGAGTTATGCCGACGTGTAGGCATACCGGACAACGAGCTAAACACTCGTTCGACATGTACTTGTACATACTATACTACTACTACATACTTAACTAATTTAAATATCTATATAGTTATTTTTATTGAAAAATGCAAATGGTTTTTACTTCAGAGTCCCTTCTTGAAGTTGATCCGGCAAATAGCTTTGGAGATTTGAGCGTATTTTTAAGAATTTTTAAACATAGTGTAGTGAGAAACGATCTCAAAACTTTAAATGCATTTTTCTCGAAATTCTGTTTTCAGAGTCGGAGAGCAAAATTTTTCTAAAACGTCCTTTAATTATTACCCCTATTCTTCTATAGTTATAATAAAACGTCTTAGCATTGGATTTGACTTGAGATAATTTTAAGCAGAACAATCTTCCACACAGACAGACGCCTTTTTACAGAGGTCCTCCTGGACCTAGATCAGCTACGAGATCAATATAATCCAAAACTTTTCAAAATTAATCGCCTATTTTCAAAGCACATTACTGTTTTTTTTTTTTTTTGCAAATTACGTTTATATTAGAAGTAAGCTTGTTTGTTACCTAAATATACAAATTTTTAAGCTATCGCAATATGTTGCACAGAGTATAATAATTTTGTTCACCTAACGGTTGTTTGTATAACCAAAAATGGGCAAAATCGAGAAGGTATAGAAACAATTTAATGAAGTGATAGTGAATATAAAAGTGATATAGAAAATTCATTATAAATCGAAAAAACGCACTTTAAATTGTAGAACTTTACAGCTTTAAATGCAAATATCTCAAAAACTATAAGTTTCGCGCGGTTATATCTATATATCCTTGATCTGGAGCATACCGCCCACTTGTATTTTACTTCCGAAAATTGGAGGAAAAAGTTGTACTTGAAAGTCACAAAATATTCGGTTTTTTAAACGTCAGATTGCCGGAAAAAACCCTTACACAATATCTTAGCACAATTATGCTACAACAACAACAGAAACCACTGTGATTTTATCCCTAATCGCTATGACTAATCAATTTCTCAAAAAATAATCATTAATCTGGCAACTCGCAATTAATATATTATTTTATTTCTTAATATTTCCTACAAGTACTTACGTTTCTTAGTTTAAAAGCGGAAACAAAGCAAACTTCATTCTTAGCTTAATAATTTTTTTTTCATTTTCAATTTTTGTCTCACAAAACACATGAAAAATTTAATTTTAATTTTATTCATTTATTGCCTTTGAAAATGAAAATTTATATACTCGTACTGATTTTATTTGCCGCGCGGGTAAGTTTACGAATAGCGGTACTAGCTGAAACATTCATACATATAAATGTGTTTTTTTTCTCCTTAGTTTCTTGCGGTGCACAGTTATTTATTTCCAGATTTCTATACGTGTGATTTTGATCTTATTGATCCCAAGGAACAATGGAGGCGTTACCACTTCTCTGATGATTGTCTGAGTATATATAAAAGAAGGCAATATAGCGATACTTACTATTTGTATCTAGCTGAAGCGCATGCATTTAAGAAATTTACTATGGCCATAGAAAATTATGAGGCGAAAAAATCTGGAAAAAAAATGTGTGCGAACAATGAAGTAAGTGTAATTGGAGTTCTTATTTATTTGTGCACAAGTACGCATGCTTTAGAGGGCACAAGTTTACTCCGTAAACGCTTCCAGTTTGTTTGAACAGCTGGTCTAGCATTAGATAGAATGAATCGAACGCAGTTCACATACATACTCTGTTCGTCTGTTTGTTTATGCACGAGCTAATCTCTCAGTTTTTGAAAGTTTGGTTAAAAGTTTTGCGCCTTTCACCCAAAGCATCTAGCTGCTCATTTGTCGGAACCGGCGATATCGTATCACTACAGCATATACCATAGCTGTCATGCAAACTGATCGATTAAAATTGGGTTCTTGTAAGGAAAACTTTTTTATTTGACAAGATATCTTATCGAAATATGGCACAGATTATTATCCAAAATACTAGAATGCGACAATCCTTGAACATTTTGTTTCGATTGGTTCGCTATAGCATATACGTTTTCAGATTAGCTTTACATAAACCATAGTGGCTATAAGAAATGTACCTTTAAAGAGTATTATATCTTCGGTGCAGTCAAAGTTAACGTTTTTTCTTGTTTTACATACAATACAATACAATTAGCAAATTCTAAAAATAAATACTATATATCATATACATACATACATATTTATCTGTTTAAATTCATATTGTGTCTTTCATTACGCATGTAGTATGCCCTAAATCTTAGTGAACGACAGAAATTCTACGATCAGGTGAATCTGGGTGACTGCTACAAGAAGAGTAATAAAACAGCTTTGCTGAATTGTCTCATAGAAGAACGAACAAAATTGACGACTATAATAAATAATGCCCACGGCTAGATTGGTTAATATATTGATAACCTTTATTATATATAAAACATTTACGAACTTAATGCGTTATATACATACATATGTACTATATGTGAAATGTGAATTTGTAATTTTTGAATTTTTTTTTTGATTTGTTTACTATATTTTTTTAAACAAACTTCATACAAAAATATAAATAAATAAGAACGTTTTAGCGCATACACAAACGCACATATATACATTATATAATAGTACATAGTTATAGAACATGTAGTTTTCAGATAGCAAATTGATTTCATTTTTATACAATCAAACATGTTTACATACATATGTATATGTACGAGTAAATGCTACATTGAGTTATACATACATATATTATTATAATATAGAATTTCGATATCTTTATAGTCATTAAAAAAGATTAAGGTACATAATGCCTTTGGCTGTTGTCGCATATTAATTATTAACCTAAATATATAAAGTACATGTAAATAGTATAGATTCAGCAAACATTGTGTTTAAAGCAAGCATTGTATAGTTTGACAAAATGGCACTCGGGAAAGTCTTTCCGGTTCTCGTTCACCCTATTGTTGCACATCTTCAAACAAAGTCGGTGCGTGTGTGTGTTGAGTGTTGATAATGCCGTTTCATAGAACTGAAGCTGTTGCTATGCTAGGGCCTCACACAAATCATATACTCCTCAGTACTGTGAAAATGTGTGAAATATAAATGCAGAGACGAGAGATTTGTAATTTTTTCAATTAAGCACTTAAGCATGCAGTTCTTAAATAAATAATTTCTTAGAAATAAATACATTGTGTATGCATTTGGATCGGCGACACTTTCTAAAATTAAATTTCATCACTTTTGCAATTTTTTTTATTATTTATTAATAATGTATTGTAATAATTTGTCAGTCAGTTAAAAGTGTAAAATATATATAAATTATATTTTTTATGGTTGTAAATAAATTTATTTAACTAAATTTAATTTAATTTTTTAATTTAATTTAATACTTTTAATATAATTTATTTATTTATAATTTAATTTTTTTTTATATTTCTCTTATATAATATAGTTGTATAAGATTTTATACAACTTTATTATTATATATTTGACATCAACTGACTTAATTAGTTTTTATCTCTTTTAATTAATTGCTATAAATTTGAAAAAATAAATGCTTTCAACTACTTACTTAATGCGCAATATACATATATATTTTTTATTTTTTATCTTTTATATTTTTTTATACTCTTGCAACATGTTGCTACAGAGTATAATATTTTTGTTCATCTAACGGTTATTTCTATCAGCTAATACAAATCGAGTTAGATGTAGAGTTATATATATATGTATAAACGATCAGGATGATGAGACGTGTTGAAATCCGATTGTTTTTTGGCACCATAAGAAGTTCATTTTTGGAAAAGGGCGTAACCCCACCACTGCCATGCCCACACAACGCCAATAATCGTCATAGCTCCAATCCATTCTCGATTTAGATTTTGCTGCAATCTCTGAAGAAATTATTCAGATCGGACCACTATAACATATAGCTGCCATACAAACTAACAACTATATGCTACAGAGTCCGATTTGACCAATTTACAAAGGTGTCATTGACTCCATAAAATGTAAAGAAAGGGTAATTAGCCCCAATCGTTAACAAAGGTTGTTGACTTCGCTAAATCTAAAATAGGTTGTGGACTTGGCTAAATGTAAACAAAAGGTTCATTGACCTCATAAAATGTAAACAAAGGGGTCATTGACCATATAATGTAAACAACAGGGTCATTGACCACATAAAATGTAAATAAGAGGGTCACTGACCCTTAATGTATACAAAGGTTGTTGACTGCGCTAAATGAAAAAAAATGGTTGTGGACTTGGCTGAATGTAAACAAAAGGTTCATTGACCTCATAAAATGTAAACAAAGGGGTCACTGACCTTGGAAAACCGTAAACAATAAGGTTATTGACCTCATAATGTAAACTAAAGGTTCACTGACCCTAAATGTGAACAAAGGTTGTTGACTTCTAAAACAAAGGTTTTTAACTTCGCTAAATGAAAAAATGGTTGTGGACTTCGCTTAATCGAAAATAGGTTGTGGACTTGGCTAAATGTGAACAATAAGATCATTGACCTCATAATTTAAACAATAAGGTCATTGACCTCATAAAATATAAACAAAGGGGCATCAATCCCATAAAATGTAAACAAAAGAGTCCCAAATGTAAACAAATATTAGAGAATTGGTTAAATGTTAACAAAAGGATACCCCGTGAAGGGTATTCGTGCTTCGGTGCAGCTGAATTAACTTTTTCCTACGATAATATAAAGTTCTGCTATATCTGAATGTATTTCCCCTACTTTGATCTTTGCAAGTTGCAAGAGTTTAAAATGTTCGGTTACACCCGCTCTTTCTTACTTGTTAATTATTATTATCTTGCCATATCTTGTTACAGAGTATAATAGTTTTGTTCACCTAGTGGTTGTTTGTACCACTCAAAACTAATCGAGTTAGATATAGGGTTATGCATGGTATATATAAATGATCAGGATGATCCATAAGAATTTGGCACCATAAGAAGTTTGGTATTGCAGATGGGCGTAATCGGACCACTGCCACGCTCACAAAACGTCATTAAACGAAAACTTATAAAATACCATAACTAAGCACTAAATTAAGATAAAAATCTGTAATTTGGTACAGGAATATACATTGGGGAGGGGCATTATGGTTTGAATTATTTTTTGAAAAATGGGCGTGGCTGCGCCCCCTTAATAAGTTTAATATGTATATCTTCTTAACCATTCCAGATATATGCCCTAAATTTTCACAGAATAAATATTTTTGACTCTTTCTTCGACAGTGTGAAAAGGGATGAAATCGGATGATAACCACGCACACTCACCATGTGACGGTTTTGTTTAAAACTACTAAAAGTGCGATAAATTAATAACTAAATGCGTCAGAGACATTAAGTTTTACATCCGGGATGGTACAAGGGAGTTCATAGGAGCCGATGTGAAAATTTAACGATGGGCGTGGCATCGCCCACATTTAGGTGAAATCATATATCTCCAATACAACTTGACCAATTTCAACGAAAACAACAAAAAAAACTTTGCACAAATACCATGTTAAGTCTAAAAATTGTCAAAATCGGACCATAACTGCTCAAGTCCCCGTTACCGAATATGGGGACCCCAGTACCTGGTGCTAACTTTTACCGGAATTAATAATCAATCTGTGAGACATATTATTACAATACGGAAAAATTCTCTTTCTATCAATAGTATGCTTGTATGTAAAAACTGGATTAAATCGGGTCAATAATTCTCTTAGCCCTCATATACCTTATCGAAATATTTTCGAACTTCCGGTTTACTTCATATTAAGTGATTGTATTTTTTTTATAATGATACATTTATGTGCCTTAAATGAGTAAAATCGCGTGAAAACTTGCCCTTGCTCCTATATAACTAATCACCGAATTTTCAAACATCCACTTGATTTTACACCATATATGTTAGTGATAATATGTGAGGTACCTTAATTGAACTCAGGGAGCATTTCATTCTGTTATATACCTAATAAAAGATTTTCAATATATAGCAGTCAATATGTAAGATATCTTATCAAAATTAACTGAACGTATAACATTTCGTTCAATGTGTGAGTTATATATTTATAAAATTGCTTGAAAATATGCTCTCAGGTATACCCCAGCAATATCAAAATTAACTCAATCAGCTCATAACTTTATGTGTCGCCAATATAGCCTGTATAATAATTTTCGACTTTCCACCTAACAAAATATGTGATAATTTAAGACAATTTAGTGAACAAGTTTTCTTAAAAATTGTGTGGGAATATGAATGAAATTGGTCTAAACCGTATATCCCTAAAATAAGGAATTGCGATTCTCTGGTTGACGTTTTCACATCAGGTCATTATATTAAATTTAGCTTCCTCAGTTGAGTTTATATACCATATATCTCATTTGAAGATGATTTTATAATAATTTTAGCTAACGCTAAATAAAATATAGTTATAAGCCTATCATAATTAGGTCTATGACCTATAATATAGCTTAATAAAATACCCAATTTGATTGTAATCGATTTACGATTCGGTCGAATAATGAATGTTGAATTGTTTCGCAAAATTTCTCCTTACACCTGAACGAATTTTTCCTGCTGTGATCCTTTCAAGTTGCAAGAGTATAAAATGTTCGGTTACACATGAACTTAGCCCATGCCTAACATACTTGTTTATTATTATTTCGTATTTCTTTAATTATTAATTACTTTTTTTATCTCTTGAATTTTTTTTTAGTTTCTCATATATTTATATTGATTTGTTTGGTTATTACTTTCTTTTTAGCTTTTTTTTTAAATATTTTTCTTATTATTATTGTTATCAATTCGTTAATTATTTTTTATAATTTTTTTATGTTTTTAATTGTTTTCTTTTTATATTTTTTATTTTGTATTTATTAACTTTTTTTATTTTATATTTTACATTATTAATTTAATTAAATATTAATATTATTTTATATCAATTATAATATTATTTCTTTAATATTTCTCATTTCATTAATTTTTTTTATAATTTTTTTATGGTTAATTTTCTTTTTAACGTTTACAATAAAAAAATAATAATAAAAAATAAGAAAGAAACTAACAAGTACTGCAAAAATTTAAATAACTTTTCAGTCACTTAAATCCATATATTTATATAAATTAGTAGCACATACATATATACGAGTATACTTATACGAAAATGAGCCAGCATTAAACAATATAATTATGTAATAGTTACTTTAAGAGACTACAACAAGATTACAAATAAATAAAACTAAAGATTAAACAATCTCAGTAACGGAGGTTGTGTATATTTTGCAAACTAATAGCAAAAAATAACGGTAGCTGCATACGTGCCCACAATATTTGGTGCCAAACCAACAGAACCATAAGAAATGTGGCATTTGTGTACACAGCAGAGGTGCTTTAGGAGATTTTTCAATGTTGGTACAACACTAACAACAATTATAAGCTATGTTCTTCAACTGGTTTACAGTTGATTTGTTTGTGTTTTGCGAGCATTGCGGCTAGTCATGATTGAATCCATTTGGTACCGGGCTAGTTGATGTAAGCCTGAATTTTTAAATGAATGATAAAAAAAAAATAAAAATAATATGCGTAGTTATTACAAAATATTAATATTAAAAGAAAAAACATTTCCATGCACATAAGTATAAAACATTCGCGAAGTTCAAAATACTGAAGTTTCACGCAATATGATAATACAATACAAGTACTATTCACATATACAAGTATTACATCCTTACTGCAGAATGGTTTAAAATATTCCCATATTATTAAAACAATAATCGTATATTTAAAGTAGAATAATTTTTCGTAAAACGCAAATTTTCCGAACTAACGTGAATAATTCCTCCTTACTTTGAAAGAATTCATAATTCTGAATTGGTTGGTTGCAGGCGGTCACATTTATGCCATCTTAGGTTCATTGTACACCTGACCGGTAGACCAATTAGCCTTATCCAGCAGCTCAGTGGATTTGGTAAAATACCTAATTTTATTTTGGAGCATTGATAGCTGTTGAAGACATCCTGTCTCACCTTGCTGAAGATTGGGCATTCGAAAAGTGTATGCCACATTAGCAATTTTTTGAAAATGAGATCTTATAGCTAAGTGCTCTGTGATGATTGCTTGCCTAAAAGCTTAGGGGAAATCTGTTCCTGGCTGACACCTAGCGAGCCAACTCCGAGTCTCCCCACTGAGTGTCTAGTTATTGTACAACCTAACGTAGTGAGACTTAATTTAGGCGCTACGAATAGCCTCTATTGCTGCTTGGCTACTCACTAGAAGGTTATGCTGGAAACAGTCACCGACATTCCACCCTTCCGTACTTACCACCCGTATCAAAACAAATTTGTCAAAAGTTATGCCCGTAGTGGCAACGTAAAAATCTGTTGTTCCCTTTTGTTTTCATTTCAGCTATGTTGACATTATTAAATTTGTATACACGATCTTTCACACATTTGGATTTTTAGTTATAATTTTTCATAATGTAAAAGCTCAAAAATACAATGCAACTATTAAAAATACTCTACCTATTTATGAATAAATGTATTTGGTTGTAATTTTGTGATATTTGAAGAATATTTCAAATATATTCAAGTTTATTTTTTAATTACCACAAAATATCGCGATTAGCAACCCTGCGTTGCAAGCGAGCAATCAGCTCACTCGTTTCAACGGTGCCAGTCGGTATATCCTACCGTACAGTCTGTAAAAGCGGACGGTAGACGCGGTGGTCAGTGTTCAGTTACATTGCACTCTCATAAGCTAGGTCATATCAGCTGATTCGGTCTACGGTTTTGCGTCGGTGACTGTTTCCAGCATTAATCAACTTGATTGACAGTGGTTTAGTACTTTGTATTCTGCATAAAGCACTGTGACATCTCTCTTACCGACTGGCACTGGTCTTACCGACGCTCAATAAATAAATTGGCGACAGGAAATATGTAACAGCTTCGACAGGAGGAAATTTGAAAGACTGAGATTCAGCTATTAACTCTCATATAGTGGAAAAATATGCTGGTGACAGTTGTACTAGCGGATTTTCGAGTGAATTTGGTTTAGATATATTAGTGTTTACATATTGGCCGAGTTTCTCCTCTGATTTTTGGAGCGCGTTTTGAGATTAAGCGACCAATACGAGATCCTACAAATTTTGAGCCACCTCCCAATTGTTAAGAAGTTTTTCATGTTAGGGGGAACATAATACTAAGAGAAAATATTTTCTTGATGTTGGAAGAAGAATCGAAACTTGACTTTATAAAAACCTATTCACATAGTTATAAGGTGGACCTCATTCTTTAGAAAAGAAGACAACGCAAGAGACTCAACGAAACAAAAGGAAATGAAAAATACAAATTTTAAAGGATAAGTAGGCCATTGAAAGATTAATAAATTTGAAAAAAATAGTACATTTACATGCACCTTATATATACCTTATAGCACATGCACCATTTATATTTATATAATATATGCGCATACATACATATCAAATTTTCCTAAAATACCCGGCCTAAAATACTTCGTTCTACTTACCGTAAACTTTCCGTTCTAGAGCGATGTGAGTAGTCCTTAGATAACCTATTTCTGGAAAAAAATTAATATTGTTAGTAAAAAAATTTTAAATACTTTAGTATTTAGTTTTACAAACCTGCGATTACGATGTATGCTACCATTTCGTAAATTCCGATTGTCCCGCCATCTCATGAAACGATGACGTAGAGCTTGACGCACTTCCGAATTGAGGAAGCAAAAGAATAAGGATACGAAAAATCCCTAAGAAATTTAAATATTTTTAGTTAACGATTATATATATATGTAGCTCACAGTCTATATATATATCTCATATCTATATATTGTATATATAATTTTAACGGAAGCTTAAGTATATATGGTATACATGCCTGTGTACTTATAAGAAAGACACGCAGATTTTCAAATACGTTTTGTGTAATTCCTTCGCCACCAGGGCAAAATAGTACAATAAGATATGTGACGCCAAATAACGGTATAAGCACAAGCAATGCCTTCGACGCCTTACGATATTGTCGGGTCTCCAGTGTGTTGGCCGAGCGCAATTTCGTGATTAATACCTGAGTGAGAGAGTTAAGTGATATGTAACATATTATAGCTGAATTTATTTAAAATTAGATTAAATTTTTTTTGAACGGTCAGTTTTAATGGCAGCTACATATATGCTATATTGGTCCGATCTAAGCAGTTTGTGCGGAAATTGCAGCGTTGCCGTTGCACAATAATCTGTGCTAAATGTTCGTAAAGATATCTTGTCAAATAAAAAAGTTTTTCATACAAGTACTTGATGCTTGTATGCCAATTCCGACAAATGAGTAGCTTATTTCAGATTGATATCTCAAAAATTGAGGGACTAGTTCGCGTGTATACAGACAGATGGACATGGCGTACTCGACACAGCTCGTTTCTTTCTGGATGTTACGAAATTCGTGGCAAACTTAGTATACCATGTTAGGGGTATAAATATATTAGTAAGGAGCTATTGTTACTCCAGTTTTGGTAATTTTGGATAGCAAGTAGGGGAAAAAAAACCAATCGAGAGATTGCTAGGTACTCTCTGTATCTATGGAAGCTTTGAGTTGAAGCAAAAATATAAAAGGATAGAAATAAACCATGGGCTATGATCAGTTTCCAATGTAGGTCCGGCCACCTGTCCAGCATACTTAAATTTCTCACGCCATTGTTTTCATTATATACTAGGAATATTAAGAGTATATCAATCAATTCTTAAAGCAATCATATACTTACCCACATGATGCGTATGAGAAATATTAAATTGAGTATTAATACAAGGCAGGTAGGTGCTTGAAATATCCAATCAATGTGAGATTCCCTTAGCCACGAGCACTGAATGAACAACTGAAATGGAAAGCGAAAATTACAAGTATTTTCAATTGAGTGCAAGTGTGAACAAAAACTTAATTATAGTAATATGTATTGGTATATTATTGAACAATGCAACGAAGGTCCGCTGATTTATAATTGAATTAAATATCATTATATATCTATAATATATATGTACATGTACCTGTGTTAGAATACTATAGCTGGATTCGGTGTGATATTATACAATATAACTGAATTAATGGTTTCTAGTCAAATCTCTGAACGTGCAGGGCTTGCGTGAATTGCGCAGAAATTATTAAAAATTAAGAAATAGCTATGAATAATTATAATGCATCGAAGTGTAGTGAGCTTCAAAGAACGAATTTTGACAACAAATTGTGGAGAAGTTCAGGTCACATACATTAAAGATATTATTTTTGTGAAATATGGATCACTTCGATCTCATATATGTATAAGTTTAATAGCTTCTTTTTTTTACTTTCACCTTAATTATTCGTTTATTAGATACATTTAAATTTTGTATTCGGGGCATATTCGAGGTATTGATAAAACTATCCGGCAAAATCGACTTTTTCTGACTATTGGGCCAAATCAATTTTCGAGAGAATGAGTCATAAATAAAAAAGTAATTTCTACGTTTTCCGAACATAGTCACTCAAAGTAAAATATTTTCTTGGAATTTCGAATTTGAGTTCATTGAAAACATCATTATTAAGTACCATATATAGGTTCCTAAAGTAGTAAATATGCGCATCATATAAGTTTTCTTCTTTTTGCAATGGTATATAATATTTTTCGGTCAAGCTTACATGACAGACGATATAAGGGTTCAAAGTCGAAAAAGTTTAAAAATATTGGCCCGACTTCGAAACCTTACAACATCTCTCTTTCTCTCTCGAAAAATCGACTGGTTAATGGACCAAAACACCATTGACCAGTCGGTGTCGATAAAGTTTTTAAATGAAAATTTGTTTATTTATAAATACAAGTACTACACCTTTAACTTCTTGTCACACGGAGTTATATAGATATATCTAAAGTGTAGCACATATTGGAGCTTACAAATACGAGCCTATTTTTATTTATCAAATTACTATCAGGAAGCTATACTGATTCATGATCTATTTAATGCCAATGGTAATATAATCTGTGAGTCGGATTTAAACCTTTGAATGTTTTTTTTTTTTCGATAAAAAATCTTAGCATTAAACTGTAACAGCAGAAACACATTTAGACTCAGAACTACTCGTAGCCTAAATTATAAATTATTTGCTTTGTTAGTGGTTAAGGGTAACCTACTTGGTCCCAATCATTCAAATCTCATAACCGTTAGATGGTACTTTTCAAAAAGGAAGAGAGTAGGTATTTTCGAGGCTAAACAAATTTGCCAACCCCAGCGCTTATACTAAGTCTCGGTAAAAGTAATCAGCGTACCTAGTCTTATAGGAATAAAAGTAAATGAAAAGGCAGATAAATTGGCTCGCTCAGAGGTAATGAAGGACATAATTGCTTTAAGGTGCCTTACAACATTCGGCTTCTTCAAGAGTTGCTTGAAGCAATGGGGTCCAAAAGAACATCTCAGGTCTCGGAACACTAGCAACATAGCGCGCATCACAAAGGTATTTTGGTGTAGTGTTGATGGTGGACAAACCAAAAGGCGTATACTTTTTGGCAATCAAGAATTAAGTAACATTATAGGCGTATTCACTGGATGATGAAGCGTTGGATCTTTCCAACTTAAAAGGCTTTAGGCAGCAGGGGTGGAAAAAGTTCAGGTATTTTATCAAATCCACTTATCCATTTAATATTTTTATACCCTGAACAGGGTATATTAATTTTACCACGAAGTGTGTAACATCCACAAGGAAATGTCAGGGACCGTATAAAATATGTAAATATAAATAATGGGCATGGTGAGGTGAGTCGATTTAGCCATGTACGTTTGTCTAAATATACGCGAACAAGTCCTTCAGTTTTGGAGATTTCGATTGGAACATTTGCACACACATTTTTCTCCCCAACACTACTATAGCATATACTTGTAGCTGCCATACAAACTGAACGAGCGGAATTATGTTTTTGTAAGGAAAACTTTTTTATTTGAAGAGATATTTTTACAAAATTTGTCACGTATCATTATCTAACGCAATATTTGAAGAATTTAACGTTTTTTCTTGTTTTTTTTTAATATTTCCAATATTATTGAATAACTTTGATAATTACTAATCGATTGAGTTGTTTAGACATGCTTTAGAAATCTTAATTCAGTACAAATCTAAAAAATAGTGACGCTTTACAATGAAGACTGCCGTTTAGTGGTATGAACTCACGGAAATGGAAAAAATAGTGTTGGGTCAATTTAAATAAAAATTTTCAAAAATTTAACCCCATTTTCATAATTTTCTCTAACTTCATTCATTGCTTACATGTCGCCAAAAAAGACAACGCACCCTAAATAATGTATGTAACATCGGTCCAAAAACTTAAATATGACCACAACAAAATACTGTCTACCACCAACGCTGTTAGTGCCATATGGCCATATTAAAACAAAAAAAAAAACAATAAATAGAGTCCGGCAATGACGTCAAGCGATAAAGTGAAGAGTCCGAACCGGCTTACATACATATGCTCATAAACATCGGTAATACGATAGCTGCAAACGAGCGCAATTTCAATTATGAACCAATTTAAATGCGGCGAAATCGCATTTACATTATCGCAGCCCAATGCTAATTAAAATAATAAATCTGGGAAATGCTGCAATAATATTTATACTTACACCGTTAAAATGCTCACTCTCCAATGATGTGGCGAAGATTTTTGCTATTGACCAAATAAATGTTATAACAGCGGGGCAACCTATAAAAATTAACAGCAACATTTAGATAATTGTAACTGTTTGTATATATGTGTATGAGGGTGTGTGTTTGTGTGCGTAAGTGTTTGTGTAATAATAAATTAAATGCTTTTGTTGCAACTATGTTTGCGTACGAATTGTGGTTTAAGGAGATGCAAAACAGACCAACAATGTATCATTGAATAAATATAAAGAGAATTGCAACAATTGAGTAAACAAATACACTGGGAATGTAAATACAATATTTCAAAGGTAAAGGTAGTGTGCATTCGTGGTTAGTTCGGTATAATAAGAAGATAAATTGTAGAAGAAAATAAAGAAAATATAAAATTAATTTTAAAGAAAATAAACAAAAGTTCAAAGAAATGAAATTAAGTGAAATAAATCATAAATTGTGAAACTAAGAATAGAATTTAATATACTATCATAATAACATGCTCAATATTTAATAAGGAATTAGACCAGTATAGAATTTTCAAAAAATCGACAATTTCGTTTTCGCTTAAAGTACACTAGAGGGTTGTAAAAACGTGTTTCAACTTGTAGAATAGTGGATAAAAAAGTCGCAGCATTCGGGTCGATCAGCTTCAGCACCTACAACTTAGGTGGTTAGGTAGCGTTGATGTTTGACGACGCAACTAGGTCTTTGGGTGGACTATTGTGAAAACATCAAGACTAAAATCTTTTCACCATATCCTGTCTTTTCTGAACCACTGTGTGCTCCTCATGAAGTTTGTCAATCCAAAAAGTTGTATTTGTGCAATCTCCGACACACCGTCGAATGACCTTGACCGATAAATACGATTATTTTCCTACACAAAGCCTTGCATTAGCATACACGATTTTCAATAGTATTTTTTTCTTCTATCTCTTGACAACTTCTACATTAGTCATTGTATGCTGTAACCAGTTCGCTGGAATGTCTGGCAATCAGACAACAACTTTCCTACTAGAGCTTTTACGCCATTCTTTTTAAATTTTAATTGTCGGCATGTGCGGCCCATATTCCATTAATGCCACGTTTGCCAGCTTGTTGAGTAAGTTAGGGATTAACTACACCGAGTCTCAGCTATAAACATGTTTGTCGAATAATTAATAATTTACAAGTAGCCAGAAGTACATACATTCCCTCTTTTTCGGAGTCTAATTGTAGGGTGTTGCCTATTCTGGCTAATTCATCTGCTTCACAGTTGCCAGAAATATCACTTTGTCCTGGAAGCCATTGCAGGTTTATCGTGAAATAGGATGTTAGATCAACTAAGAGATCAAGGCGTTCCTTTACCTTCTTTGATGAAACCCTAAGAAACTTTAGGCATTTCAAAGCCGCTTCGACAAATGTATATATAAATATATTTCTTGTTGTGTGCACACTCTTTGTCAGAACAAGAAAGCTTTCTTCATTTGCCTTGATCTCCGCTTGGAAGATACTGCAGTGGCCTGGTAGTCGGAAGACGATTCTTGTATATAATTTTGCTGAAAAGACACCACCTCCCTCTCGATCTGTATACATGCTTATTCGTACTCACGTAAAACTAAAAACGCGTTTTTCTCGAAACTTCAGTTTTCAAATTATTGTCTAATAAACTACGGACTAACAAAAAACTAAATTTTTAGGTTTTTAATAAACATTTTTATAATCTTATTCAAAATAGGCTGTAGAGGCAATATCGGCATGTGAACGCTTTATCCAATTTTCCGTACACAAGCTAAAAGCCTCGGAAGGGATGGACAGACGGAGATCAAACTTTACACGAACATAAAAAATGATTGTATAGACCAGTCCATGTCACATTTAATCAGGTGTTGCTAATTTTTTCGATTGAGATTGCACTGTTTTTACAAGCCATTTTCGCAAAAGTTTATGTAAATCTAAAAACTAACAAATTTTACTATATGACCGGAATAGAGTCCAAAAATTTATATTCGTTCAAAGACTTTCTATACTCTCATCGGGTTTACACTTACAAAAGCATTAATAATCAAAACAAACAAATCACTTTGACATTTAGAGTAACCAAACAAATGTTTTAATAAAAGCAAAAAAAATAGTGTGAAATATTTTTTTTATTTAAAAACTCACCCCAGCCTATGCAAGCGTATATGAAAAACCGAATATTATCGCTAGAAAATGTCTGCACCACAAGTGTATAAAGATAGAGACCTGTATAAAAAATTTCGAATTAAAATAATTTTGTTTATATTTAAAATTTGTAGCGCATATGCCGCATACCTTCCACAAACATCCAGAAAAAGTTAGTCAAATTAAAATAGTGAAACATCATGACCAAAGTGATGCAGCCGGCCTCGCTGGGGTGCTCTGTCATCTGAAAAATAATGCACGAACAAAGCAGAAGACAGCCATTATTAGTACCAGCTATTAGTTAGCGCCTGTGGTCAAGGCATTATAAAAGCAAAAGTAATAGAAACAACAAAAGCAAGTGATGTGTTCTATATCTCTTAATGTTTGGCTTACCACATGCAGGCACATCGTGAGGATCCACAGCAGCGCGGCGAGTATGTATGTGAGGAATAAATTCGCATGAATGGTGTTGCGCAGGCATTTCAAGTCTCTGCAAGTAACCAACAATAAAAAATTAAATACAAAATAAAAAAACAATAAAAAAAATGAGCAAATGGTTGTTTTATGAATAAAACAGAAGAATTTTAATTGTAGACAACATTAAATTTTGATTATTTATATAATATTTCAACAAAATTAAATTTACTGCTAACTTCCTGAATTTGTTTAGCTTAACCACAATTGCAGTACTATATATGTATATGTATGTGTGCATGTGTAAAACAAAAACATGTGAATTTAACTATGCAAATGTTTTATTGTTTACTCACTTGAAGAAATAGAAAACGATCAGTGCTAAAATGAGTGACGTTAAACTAATGAAATATCCAATGAAATATATATAGGATGATAATTCGATTGTTGGCGAAAGATCAGCCAATTGTGGCGGTAATATTGTAGACGGCTGACAACGCATATACTCCGTGTAATTGTCCCACGTGCCGTCCGCTAGGCACTGACGTGTTACATTTTCTAAAAGACGAGAGAAATTTATAAATACATATTAGGGTGGTCAAAGAAAAACCCATTATGGTTTTTTGCTTTATACTCTGAAACATAGGTTGATTGATACCGAAAAAACAAACAAGTAAAAACGTTAACTTTGGTTGCACCGAAGCTATAATACCCTTCACAAACACAAAAGATTCCGTACAAGAACTTTGATCGGCCAGTTTGTATGGCAACTATATGCTATACTGGTCCAATATCGGCGGTTTGACAAATGCTCAGCTTCTGGGGGAAAATGTGTACAAAATTTTAGATCGATATCTCAAAAATTGTCAAACAGACGGACATGGCTAAATCGAATCAGCTCGTTGATTATTTATATATTTTTATATATATTATTATTTATATACAGTTTTATATTTTTAAATTATTATTGGATGAAAATTTTATATGTACTATTTGAAAAAATAAAAAAATATATTGACTCTCATATTTCTTCCTAAACCTCACCGTTAAAAATAATCAATTTTTACCCACCCTAATACATATAGACTAAAAATTAGAAAAAAATAGTTTTCTTAAGTTCTTAGTAAAACTTCAAGTGTTGTTTCACCATATAGAGTATTTTTAGGTTATATTCAATTTGGAATTATCTATGGTATCTTTGAAATTTTTAAGGCAGTTTGAATGTAATCATTGTAAATTACACTATTTATATAGAAAAATCGGCAGTTAAATAAACAGCGTGACAAGCTGAGTCGTTAGTATATATTAGTTTGAGTATATACCCAAACTAGTCCCTTAGTTTTTGAGATATCTATCTGAAATTTTCTACACGTCCTTTTTTTCACAAGAAGCTGCTTAATTGTCGGAATTGACGATATCGGACCATTATAGCATATATCAGCCGTACTGAACAATCAAGTTCTTGTAATAAAACATTTTTTATTTGTGTAGGGTATTACTGCTTCAATGCAACCGAAGTTGACATTTTTTCTGGTTTTTTATAATCTTCAGCAAGGCCTTTATACTGCATTTTAACTACTTAGTGCAAATTAAATCTTCATTAAATGGCACAAAAATAACTGTTTAAATAAATACCTTCTAATTTCATAACTAAATTAAGAATACACATCTTCCTATTAGACCTAGTACCAGTGCATTTAATGTTCTCTCATTTGTAAGCATTTGTAGTTGATCTTGCGTGTCACGCTTCACACTCCCACTTATCACACCACCAGCGAGGCCGCTGCACTTCACTAACTTTTACTTAAATATACATATATATTTGCAAATAATATTGGCTAAGTGTTAGAATTTTACACAGTGACATAGAGACATACTGTCTGTGAGTGCGTGTGGTAGACGCGTGACGAAGTCGTGTGAAAGTGCTAATGAAATAGTAATTTTCACATAAGCATGAAATACCGTATATGTAGAAATATGTGAGTATGTGTGTGCATATTTTGTTCTATGTTTATTTGCCTTCATAGGTGTTTGAGTAATATAGTGAAGTAATTCAAATTTCATTTGCAAATATTTGCGCTCATCATATACTCGACAGCCTCTCTTGCCACTCTGTGTAACAACTTCGGTTGACATCGCAAACGAGCTGTGTTTTAATGATTTAGTTTGACAATATTTAATATAGTCAGCACGTCAAGTTTAAGCTGACGCGCCGAAAGTGACATAGACTCACAAATGTATTAATTTATAACTGTGTACAGTTGATTGACATTTGCAGTTTGTTACCAAAGACAGTCCAACGGAGTTGTCAAAATTATTAAGTGGCAGCCGCAGCCACAACATCAGAGTGATATTCCAAAAATGCTGTTTTATAATTTGAAATTTGCCCACGCATATATTTGTATAAAGAATCGTCACAAACTCTATTTATCCTTCTTTTTCGAGATTCCACTGTTTAATTTGGCTCCATCTTTTTCATGAATAACATAATAAAAACTGTAGGATTTATAACGTTTGCTGTTACCAGCGTGCACATTTTATATATTATGTTTGGTTAATCTATTCTAACCCTTACATATAGAATAAGGTCTAGTAATAAAAAAAAAAACCAAAAAAAATCCGTTATTTCTCCAATAGATGGCTTTAGTAATTTGCATCAAGCATTCGTGTTACCCTATATGTCGTTAGAAAAATAAGTTTCGTACTAAAAACCCTTTCAGACAGTTTTGTGATTATATTCTTTGTCTCAGTATTGTTAGAGCACGCGTCAAGGATGGATACCACTATGAGGAAAATACGCCATAGTTTAAAGTTTTTCTTAGATAAAGTCGACAATGAAAGCCAGGTGGATGAAACATGTATAGTGTTTATGGCCCTAATACTGTACTGTATCGAAAATATAGATAAATCAAAAAGTCAAAAAAAAAAAAAGAAATCCTTTCGGCACCTAAAACTCCTATATACATATTGATCATAAAGATCCTCATAAATCGACAGAGCGCATTGAGCCTCTCACACATTTCTTTATGCGGCTAATATTATGTAGTCTCGGCTGTGTCTCCTGGTTGGCAGAAGATATGACTGCAAAAGTCTTGTGATATGTTGTAATGAGTTCAAAGTTTAGATAATACTATTCGATATTTTATAATGTGTGCAATGTAGGTTTTCAAGCGTAAAAACATAATCATTGTAGTTGTATGCTTTTGTATTCACAAATTCTTTAGCAGTCACACCTATTCTATATTTCAAAATTAATTTACCGAGCTGTATATGTCGTACATGGTTCAAATTAAAGTCATAAAAACTGACACGCTTATTTTATTGACACAATATTATAATGCAGCCAAAAAATTGCCTACGAAATCAGAACATGTTTACTCTATAGGTTTATTGTAGCAATAAATAACAAGACGATATAATGAAATCCATATATACTTGTATATATATAATATATTCACATATACACATACACAAGTATGACAGTGACAGATCACCATTCGTGCAAATATAAAAAGGGCGTGTGCTCAGCGACTAAGAAGCATGCGATTTTATGACAACTTTTTGATTCAAAAATTAAATGTATTAAGCGGTCTACCATATATTTGTTTTATTTGTCATATTGATTAGCAGTTTTTTATTATTAATGAGAGCCTTTATTTATGTCATCGCAATCATAAGTCTGTGCAAAATCACCGTCAAAGCAACTCACTTGCCAAATATTTGAGGAATCGATTAAAAAAATTTATAGCAAGAATAATCTATTAAAGCCAGAAGAGTAATGCTCTAAACTGGTTACGACATGTCTGGTAGCTACTAAGTACAAACCAATTTTTTTCGAGAAATTTAATCTTAAGTAAAAGATTATTTCGTCGAATTTCGAAATTGAGCTTACGGAAAATATAATTACAGTATGGAAGTTCCTGAGATAGTAAAAACATGGACATCATCTACGTTTTCCTCTCATTTTCCGTGGAGCATATATGACAGGTGTTATAAGGTTTCAAAGTTGGATAAGCTTTTTTTTTAAATACCGAAATAAATTTTTTTTTTCGAAGATCCAATTTTGGTCTTCTTTGTGTCAATTTGTTATTGCTATTTATTATTTTATGCAATTAATTAATACTTACCTGTTGTATTGTAATGTATGCCCTTGAATTCTGCAAAACAGGGTTGTATGGCTGTCGTGCCGGCCAGCGTTTCCTGCCAACAGAGCACAGAGTCAAAGGAGGGCGCACAAGTTAAGTAGGAGGCTGAGGCATTGCGTGGCTGTAAGAGTTGAAATAAATATATTTTTGGTTAAAATTAAAAAAATCCAACTAATTTAGTGCTATATGTGAGTGTAAATTGCTAATTAAGTACTGTGATCGCACCGAGTTCACCGTGACTTGAGTATTTTTACATTACGAGTCGAGTGAATCGCGTAACTTTTACTTACTGATTTTTAGCAAATTTTGTTTTGGAATAAAAAGGTGTCACAAAATATATTTCGATCGGTCGATCGGTTAGCTTAACTTAACCCACATGTGGAACCATTATTACAGCGTTAAGACAAGCAATAATAAAATTCTCCATAACAAAACCATGTACCATGTTATATGAAATCGCCATTGGCTAGCAAAGCTGTTAAGTATTGTGAAAAGTCTATGCCAGCGCGGTCAGAATTAAGAATGTTCTTATTGTTTTCAGATATAACCCGACCAATTTCACATCTGATAAGGCAGTGTTTTGGTAAAGGGTTTGGCTTGAATGGCGAGTTTATCACCAAAACATTTCGTTCTTCAAAAGAAAATATTAATATTCCAAAAGTCAGTGGTCGGTTCTTCCATCTAGAGAGTAGTGTAATAATTTTTATTTGCTTTTGTTTAAAAAATCTTTAATATTCATAAAGGTATACGGATGGCTTTCAAGTATGTATATATGCCAATATTTATTCATGTATAAAAATGTGTATATGTGCATACATGTGCAATAATGTTTACTTTAAATGCTATACTGCATCGCTACAAACAGCACAACCAGGGGATTGGTCTAATTAATTTGTGACCCGCGGCGTATACTTTATTGCGTTGGCTCGTGGTCGCAATTTGCTGACTTGCATTGCCGAGAGTGGTTAATACAGTTGCAGAAAATACAGGAAAACACATGCAAGCAAACATATATAGTATGCACCACATACGTACATATATACATATACATATAAATTGCATATTACAAAAATTTTCTATCACATGGTATATGTGCCTAGTAGAGTTTACGAGCCGCTTATAAAACTAACTAATTAACTGAAACTGAAGGTTTCGTAGAGGATATTTTTTTAATTGAATAAAATTTAGAATTTTGATTAAAATGCAATTAAAATTTATTCAAAATTGGAAAGAAAATTGATATTATTGTATAAGTATTGAGGCTGTACGAGAAATAATTACAGTGATAAAAATGTCTGACATAAAAAGGGATGTTCATAAATAAACGATAATTACAAGTACTTTAAAATCACAATGCTCATTTGGTTAGATATGTTCTCTGTACTTCCGTAGGCGGTTGGCTGTTCTGAGTCATTAATCGACATCACGGCCTTTCAAGTATATTTATGGCCTAAGAAAGTTTCCTATATAATCCGGCAGCCAAATGGTAAAACATTTTGAAACCTTTCAAGGATACTACAATCAAGGAGTCTTTTATATATATTCTACTAAAGCGTGCGGTAATTTTGACGGCGAATTGGTAAAAATCACCTGCTTCAATCCCCTCTCAAAATAAGCGAAATCACCTGAAAAATTTTCCGAAGTTTCAAAATGGAAAATATTTGGCAGTAGTGTTCATATTTATGTTTTCGAAATAAAGCTACAGACCTAAAATTTTTATAAAATCAGTTCAATGTTTACAGCGATCATTTAGCGGAGACAATTAAGACGAAAATTGTTACATCATCACTGAATGCACTTAATTATTATTTAGCTAAAAAAAATAGTATTTGTCAACTGTAAAAAAAGTGTTGTTATAGTTGTGTTAGTAAGACTTTAGTTTAAATAAAAGAGATGATAACTTAAGGGGGTATACTGCAAGTAGTTTATAGGCATGAATTTTAGGTAATTTTTGAAGTAAAAAAAAGCCAATCAATATTTTGACTATCTATTTTTTTATTAGTTATTTATTAACATGACAAGAATACAGTAAAAAGTCAAAAAATAATTTGAATTTTGAAAAATTCTTTTGTAGATATTTTCTTGAACAGTTAAATTTTGAAAATATACAAGACAAAAATTTTTATTTTATTTCTAGACTTGAATACTTCCTTAGTTTTGATACTGAATTAATTTAGTTCAATGCAAATATTGATCCTTTGATTAGATTTAGAATATCTGATTAAAAAGGAGGGAGAACAGCTATTGGAACCAATAGTAGTCCACAAAGCTAGGTAGGTTTTGAATAATTTCATTTGTTTTGTTCTTCACCAAATTTCAAAAGGTTGCCTTGGTTTTCAATATCAATCTATCGTTAATTAAATGCTTATTGGGCAATTAGTAAATTGTTCTACCGTAAGGTAAATTGATAACAATTAATGGTTCAATTGCTGTAATTCTCTTAATAAAGTGAGCCAAAAACTAACTTATCAAATTCATGACATGAAATGAACCTATATACAGAGAAAAAATATACTTGCAATGAGAAATTTTTTGCTTAATTTTGAAAGGTTTAAAAAAACATATTTTTATTAAAAATACCATAACTTTTGAACCGTTTAGGTAAAGAATTTTTTCATCGTGGATTTTAGTTGAGCAGAATATTCGTTAAAAATCTACCTTAGGGTGAAAATTGATGGGTGAATTTTTATTATGGCTCACCCTAATGAGCATTTATTAATCTAGAGTGGGAGTATATGAAATATAGTGTATAAATTGATTTCATAGTTTTGTTGACAACTTTTTAACTTAAGGGTAGGCTTGTGAATTTCAAAATATGCATTTTTGTTTGCATATTCAAGTATATCACTAAAGGTTAGAGCTCTGAAAAATTTTCCATACAAATTAACCGAATTATGTTGCAATAAATTATTTTGTGCGCCGATCTGTTAACAAATACCGTAAAGAATAATAATTACAAAAATTTTCGCACTTCGAACGAAATTACGGAATTTTCCGCGAATTCAGCAGCAAATTCGCAACACAATTCAGCAAAAGCAGTGTTATCAACAACGCGTTCGGAATAGCACTATAAATTTCGGGCTTAACTCTGAATTTATAAGTATGTATGTATACCTATATGCATTTATGTGTGTGTGTTTATGAAAGTGAAATTGTACTCACCGCGGTGCGCCTGCCGCTCTGCTCGCAAAGCGCCTTCAACGTTTGGTTTATGGAAATTTCGTTCATTGCAGTCGCATCAGGGATATCTTTGTTCATGCGCAGCATTTCCGTAGAGAAATTGGCAATAATATTTTCGATATCGAGCACTTCGGCCGCCGCTGCCGCTGCCGAATCATCCAAGCCTTCGAAAAATGCATGCAGATCTGTGTTGGACATTTTCTGCGTTGGCAATCCAGTCTGTGTTGCCGGTATATATGTGTATGTGTTTATATAATTTAAGGTGTGATATACAGTTATATACACCGTGTGTGGATGTGCAGCGCACCTGGCTTGGCTTACTAGCCACAAGAGCTGATGGTGTCGCTGCTGTGGCGCCTCTTCTATGTTCCTATTATTGTTGTTGTGGACTTTGGTCTACTAGCAATTAGTTGCTATTACTAAGTTGTTTGTTGTTTGTTGCTGTCTTTGTTGCAATTTACCTAATGTTGTTGTTGTGAGCGCTGTTGACTCTAGCGCTAACTTTATTGGCGACGATTCTGGATCATTGCAGCCATTTTATCGGCAAATTGTGCGTTTACAATTCGCATTGTTTTTGTTTGTATTGTTGCCTCACTATTTGCATACTTTACTTGCTGTTTCTTCTTTCTTTTTTCGTCGTGCTTTTGCTGGTGGTAAGGTGTGTTGTGGTAATTATACTTTATGCGCGTATTTGTTGTGTGTGTGTGTTTTTTTTTTATCACGCAATATTCTAATGTAACGGTACCTTAGTTTGTAAATATGATTACAGTGGCCTTCAACCAGCCGCAACAGTTTGCCATCTATATCACTTAGGAAATTCAAATGAAAGTGAAATTAGAAAAGGAAATTTTATTTGCTGCTGGCGATGCGTTGCCTCTTATCTCTGGACAATAACTGTAAATAAAGTAGAAGTAACAAACGAAAAAAAAGCATACAATTAGACAAAATTTACAGGTCTTAAGTATATGAGTAAGCAAAAGTAAAACACTCGGTAGCAAACACGAGTCTAATGCATTGGTATATGAACAAATACAGTCTGTCACATAAGTGTGGTAACAAAAAACCATAACTCAAGGAAATTTCGTACTAAGTGTGGTACTTTACAAACCATACCAACTATGACGCTCAAGGTTTTGCTGCATATGGCACTGGTGGACATAGCAAGGTGTATGGCTGCTAAAGCTGCTCTTAGATTCAGAGAAACTGGGTACTTTGATGACTGCGAGCCTGGCGATTACCAGGTCGTTGAGCTTAGGTTCGTCTGCCATTTCTCTGCTCACATACCTTCGACGGAGGTATGGAAGTGAAGGACTCGCTAGATAAGAGTCGTTTTGAGCTTTTTTACAGATGGATCAAAAATTTCGATTAAGATTGGTGGAGGAGTACACAGTTGGTAACGATGCAACAACTCAAGTTTTAGGCTTTCTAAACACTGCAGCGTCTTCCAAGCAGAAGTGGCTGCCATAAAGATAGCTGTAGATCTACTCCTCCCCAGCGTAAATGTCAGAAATAAAAATAAAGCACTAAGCAGATTTGTGATAGGTTCAAGACGCTTTTTGGATAGCTTATATTAAAATTCAGAAACTTTTTATCTAGCTTCGCAAAGAACTATACATACCAGTCTAAGTGTGATCCCCCGCTATTTTGAGGGATCAGCCATCAAACCTAACTTGATTTAGTAACTATTAGTTCCATACTACGATATTGGTATGCACAATTTTATTATTCTTTTCCTTTCCACATATGTGTTCTAACTAACATTGCACAAAACCTAAATTTTTCAAAAAATCTTCGAAAGTTCCTTTAAACTATTCGTTTTGATTGAAGGCATTTGGCATTTCCACTCAAAGTTACCATTACTTCTCTACTCAAAATAACTTTATTTCAACTCTGAGACACCACTATATGGGTTCAATCAACTGCGATACACTAATTATAGCATTCTAACAAGATTCCGATACCATTTTCGTAGTATGGCTAGTCTCTTGCTTTAAAATGGCGATTTCTATCCATGCTCTCAAGTTCTGAAAACAAGGAAATAGCGAGACTAAGTGAAGAGGATTCGGTGGATGTAGGAGCAGTTCGAAGCCTAGTTAATATATAATATTTAATTTACAAAACATATGGATTTACTTTTAGAGGTGGACTAACGTAGAAATAATACGAGCGTTTTATTCGAGCTAGTACCCTGACGGTAAGGAGCTAATAAAACATTTTGCACTAAAATCTTCATTCAATAAGAATGCAAATTGGTTGAACCTTATCCGTTAACCTTTAAATCAAGAAAAAGTCTGTTTTCAGCCTAATTCTTTCGACAAGTAATACTTTTAGTAATATTTTTATCTACTTGTATACTACATTCGTCCGTATCTATTCACAATACTATATGTATGTACATATGTAGATATAAATCATGAATTTTCATGAAATCGGAAAAAATCGTATTCTTATTTCTTACAGAAAAATATTTAATCAATTTAAACAGTTTTCTCTGTATTCTATATATTCCTGTACACCTACTATTATGTTCAACTGTATACACAGAATTATTATATATTGCCTGCAAATCAGACGTAAATTTAAAAAATTTTAAGTAAACATGATTAGATAAACTTGGTTTTGTATAAACTCAGGACAAAAAAAAAGTTATCAGAACTTTGATATCTTCATTTTGATAAACTTGTTAAAAATCAGTGTGCGATTACGAGTTCATGCAGATAAACGCTTTTATAAAATTAATAAAAAAAAACTGTGCAGCAACAAGCCAACTCTCTTTTATAAGTTTTTTGCTTAACCTGTTGTTAAGATTGAAATTAATAAAAATAGCATAGAATAAGAATAGAAAAATTTATCTGGGAATCTCGTGGCGTGCAGATTTCTTAACTATTGCGCAGCGTTTGGACTGTTGTACTTATCAGAACTCTCTCGTTATATATTGCTACAAAAATACCTGCATGACTCTGCAAAAATGTGAGCCATCTTAAGTGGTCATAAATTACATTGAATTTATCTAAAAATGCAAATAATAACTAAAATATGACAAAATAATATGTCTCAAGCTAGGACAGACCTAACCTGCCTTTATGTTGTCACGTAATAGACTGAAATTCTTTAAATTCACCATTCAACACATTAATGCAATACAAACTCGCGAAAAGCTTAGCAATGACATTTTGACAAAGAAAATCCCATAATTAATTCGTAATAAAATAAACAATAAAATATTTTATTTGATTGATGCGATTTGGGTGGGTCGAACACATAATCACATTTTGATTGTATAAATAAAAAACACAAATAATCGAACATAACGTTAATTGTTTATACTCAAAAAGAAAATTTCACAATTTCTGACCTTGACAGTGAATTAACATGGTCTACTTATAAGATTGTTTTCAATGGTGCTGACACCTATTATAGCAAGTTTTCATTTACAAGTAATACAGAAGTCGACGTTTTATATACCCCATAATTTCAATGTCTTGTTCAAAATAAATTTAGTACATCGGGATTTTAAGTACGGTTAGACTAGGTTAAAAGGTCGATTCTGTTAAAAATTCCAACAAGGATCTAACTTGCCAAGCTAAGAAGGCTGCTCCGTTGTAAACTCCTATAAATTGATTAATTGACCTTTGAAAATCGAAAATCGGTAAAGCGCTTTGGGTCTAACACAATTTGGATAAGCCTCCCACTCTTGGTTCGCCGAAAGTATGCTTGCCGACAAGTTTCCATCTCAGTCTTGCAAAATGTTCTCACTTTACCTACTTGCATACAACGTTTCAAATTGCGTTCGACAAGTTTGCGGCAAGATGAAGCTTGCTAAGGCCAAGTAATTTAGTGGATCTCTTGCGTATTAATCTAGTTCAGAAGGATCTCGCAATCACACAGGAGTTGGTGGTTGACCAACGCCTGCTATGTTAACTCGAGCAGGACTAGCGCTAGAACGCAAGAGGACAACGGAGACTCATCTCGTTCCCCGTACAAGGTTGCCCCTCCGTGTGACTCACTGGCTTTGTAGTTTCCGGCAATTCCACGACGACGACGCACCCAAACGAGTCTGTTAAAGAAGTAGCTTTATGCTATTGACACTCCTTGACTAACTTTGAGCGCACAGTGTGCGAACTGCTGCACTTCCGAGGAAAAACTACGCTTCTTCTCAGCGACTTCTCGCCGTCCACATATCCCACATCGGTATGTGAGCAGAGAAAACGCTACCTGAAGTGACTCTGCGACGCAGTGATCCAAGTTTTCAGAGATGTAGATAATGGAGGAGAAAATTTCACCGTGTCCCTGTTTGGACCGCTTCGGATCCAGGCAAACCTTTTGAGTTCGGTAAAAAATAAATGGAAATCGATTTGAATTCATATTGAGTACTTTTAGTAGTTTCATGAAGGCCTCTAAAAAGAGGTCGTGCTTGAACATTAAAAGCGAACATATTTAATTTTATTTTCAGTCATAACTAAATCTTTTTTAAAAAAGTTCGGTAATTTATATATTATATTAATAATATATTTTTTATATAAACAATTGGAAAAATTAAAATTTTTTTATTAACAACCCTAATATACACTGATAATATATTGCTGGCTAATAAACAAGCAAGTGAATCATAAAAACAAATTTCTAAATTTCGCAAAACAAAAAAAAATATTTTTTCATTCATAAATTTTTTATTGTGCAAATATGTATCGCCGTTTGTAGTTTGTGTTTTACTGCTTGCATGCGATTTTATATTTTAGTTATAAGTTGTTTTGTTATTTTCGGAAGAATACTTATAAACAAGCGCAAACCGACACGCACACACATGCACACATAAACACAAACGCACAATCTTATCAAAACTAAATTAGTTTTCGTTACGATTACAGTTATATACACTAACTAATGTTGTTGTTTATTATTGTTATCAACAGGTAAGCTAACTGCTAACAACAAGTTTGGTCGTTGTTAAGTTTGTATATATGTGCGTCAGGTCTATAAATAGGCTGGGATAACCAGATTTTTTTTGAATGCGTGCTGGAATTTGTAAATCAGAACAAAAAACAAAAAATTTTACATATATATAATATAAGCATAAGTATATGTATTTTTAAGTGATATATGTTATAAATTCTGTCGCATGCGACTTTCTTCAAATATATGTATATAAAACGTTATACAAATATACAAACATATATAATAAGGTTACACAGACAAAAGTTTGCATTAATTATATACACATATACAAAATATATGAGTATGAATCAAAATTGGTACATTTGAGGTTATCGTAATGCGGTGGAACATACTGTCTGCGGTCTGAGACAGCAACTGAATTTTTTGAAAATTATTGCTTAGTGATGTGAAAACAATATCTTAAAGTCACCTCGTTATATACATCATATGTTTGTTTATATATTATATATCATCCTATGTCTGCTTGTGAGAGTTAAAAAATATTAATAATTTTTATTAAATGCTCCAAAATATTTGAGCTGTTGGCAGCGGCAATCTTTCTCCAGAAATCGAGAAGATACCAATGAATGAGAATTGTCGAGTCATCGTTAAAGTAGTGGCGGATCAATCAACTGTTCTCCGCATTACCAGATTTAGCTGCATTAGACTTTTTGGTATCTCTAAAACTCTAAAACTGACATCTATTTGACAGCTGTCAACCCACGTCTATTTGACAGTTGCCATATGACGTCTATTTGACAGCTGCCAACTGACATCTATTTGACAGCTGTCATCTAAAAACTACATCGCTGATAAAGCTCAAGGGTATACGAAATAGTACTTATTAAGATTTATCTTACTTTTTCGAAACACATATTTAGAGCTCATTCCTAAATACTGCCAGACAAACTAAACGTGCATCCAAAAAGCTGGATCGAGAAAGCTGTCACTATTAAGAT